CCTTTTCCTAGTTTTTTCTCCTTTCTTTTCAAACTAGTGATATGTGGCCGTATGCTAAATGAAAGAAAAAATTTACAGGGTGACGAGATTCCACAGGTTCAATCCCTACAGGTGGTGGCAGCATCGAATACAATCATGGCCCTAGTGCTCATCGGAGTTCTATTGTTACAAGCCGGCCAGTGGTATGCTGAAAAGAAAGAGAAGGAAGAACTAGAAAAGATCCTCAATGATGGGCTAAATAATGCTGACTCGCCGACAGTTGCAAAGAAGGAAGCCAAGGAGAAGAAGAAGAAGATATAAAAAAAAGAGCCAGTGGGTCCTCAGTAGTTGGGTTTCTATGGATGATACTTACATCGAGACTGGCACTAACAAGCAAAGCACTCGAGAGAAAAAGCATTCTAATTCCTTTGGTGTTTTTCTTAGTTAACGGATCTGTTGAGCGTAACTTCTTGTAATCTGAACTAATCTATGCCATGATATGATTGCATTCCCGGTATAACCTACTCAGGTACCTAGGTACCTACCTACCTACTTATCTAACCGCTGAAGACACGAATTAGTAGAATTCGGTTTCTAGAAGCCATTAACTGTGGCTTGAATATTCGAAGCGGTTTCAGAGGCTGAGTTGAAACAAGCCTCACCGTCATGTCATCTCCCGTAGTAAAATAAATTTAAACTGTCCGTGGATTGTTGGAGGACCGACAGGGAAAATGACAGCTTCCTTCCGGCAAAGAAAAATAAAGGAAATGGCTTATTCCGGCAGCATAATTGCATGGAATAACTGCACGGCGCTAGATGCAGGGCAACTGCGAGTGAAAGATTGATTGATGATTGACATGAGTGTCATAGCTAGCCTGGTTTCATCGCCTGAGTATTTTAATACTTCGAAGCTGCGTACTAACTAATCTAACAGGACTGCGGTCCCGCGGACAGCCATGGCTTCTTTTCTTTATAGCTAAAAGTACTTAAGTCTTGTCCCTGCTGAAGTAGACTTGTACTTGTGAAGAACTGATCGATTCGACCTCCCCTTTAAAGACCCGTTAAGACCTTTTATCACGACAGTGCACCGCCCAGCTCTCGGAAGTGTACCAGCATCACTTATATCACTTGCACCCGACCCCTCTCTCCCTCTCCTTCTTTAGATCTCCTTCTCTTCTACTTCTCCCATAAAATAATATAATATGGATACAGTATAGCATTTGTATATATAACATTAGATCCTGAAAAGCTGCCTTTCTGGCTCGAGTCTGCAGCTCTACCCCATTTGGTCCAGTCACGCGGGCTGCCCGTCAATTCGTAACGCTCCTTTCAGGCTCGTCGCTTGGTCCACGCAAGGTCGCCACACAAACTGACCGCCGCCGTACTGGCTCTTCTAATCCACCGCGGGCCCCAAACCTAACCTGACCTCAACCTCACCTCAGAACCTCATCCGCTTTTGATAGCGGCAGACGACCTTCGGAATTATTCCATTCCCTCGGAGGTAAAGAACATCTTCGGGTCTCTATCTTTATCTTCCTCGCTCTCTCGACAAATAGAAGGTCGAAAAGCCACAAGATGGCTCTCTTTACACATACACTGGCTGCAAGAATGCTGGTAACAAGAGATGACCCGAAAGACCATGATGAAGGAGAGTGCGAGCTCCTTGGCTCCTTCGGTATGCAATACATCCAACATCATCTCCCCTACATATTTACTACCCCAGAACTCCCAGGATCCTTTAAGGGACGTCTCTGTCAGATAGTTAGAAGGCATAGTAACTTACACATTTTTGTTTTTTGTTTTTAAAACTACAGCTCTCCTCGTTCAAGCAGCTCTCGGTCTTCTAGCTCTCACCTCCCTCGTCTACAAAAGATGGCGCGAACGACCCCAACGACCCGTCAAAATCTGGTTCTTCGACGTCTCGAAACAAGTCGTCGGCTCCGTTCTCGTACATATTGCCAACCTTGTTCTCGCTTTACTATCCTCTGGGAAATTCGATACGACACCGCATCCGTCGCGGTTGGTACGGAGAGATGATGATTACCACCCTAATCCATGCAGTTTTTATCTGCTGAATCTGGCGATTGATGTATGTCTTTTTTTTGATTATATTCCAGCAATTTTACATTTTGGAGGTATTGGCAGTATTAGAGAAGTCGGGTGGAGTGCTAACAACTTGGGTTTCCTTTTCGATATAGACAACCGTTGGAATTGCGATTCTGATATACTCTCTCCGAGCAATTACATATCTTTGCGAGCTACTTCCACCAGACAATCCATTCAGCTACGGCATCACCTCCGGCGATTATGGAAGCCCTCCAAAGGCCTCCAGCTGGATCAAACAATCTGGTATGTCCTTCAACCCCCTGTGAATTATGACATCAAAGGAGAGGAGGGGGAAAAAAGAAAATAAATAAATAAAACTAACACTAAAATGGTAACCAATAGTATTATATTTCGCCGGCCTCATGTTCATGAAACTCATTGTCGCAATCCTATTCGCAATATTCCCCATCGCCCTTGGAAAATTCGGCGACTTCCTCCTCGGCTGGACCGAAGGCAATCGAAGAGTCCAAATCGCATTCGTCATGTTCATCTTCCCCTTAATAATGAACGCCGTCCAATATTACATCATCGACATCTTCATCAAGAAACAGGAAACAAAGGCACCACACCTGGACGACGAAGAAAGACTACCGATCGCAAGAAGTGATGATAGCGATGACGACGATAGCGAATTGGGAATCCCACATGATTCGAATCTACCACAGGTGCAGCCTAGTAGCGGAGCTGCTGCCGCTGCCGCTGGTGGTGCGACAGGAAAGGGGGATAAGAGACAGAAAGTTCAATCGCGGACACGGAGTTTCGAAGATAGTTCCTACGTATACTCCACTGATGAAGACGATGAACATGCGATTATTGCACAGAAACAGAAACGGGGCCATTCGAAGAAAGGGTCGACTTCGGCACGGATAGAAGAATACGATCCGGATATCGATGGGGATAATACGGCTGCTAAGAGGTAGTCCATATGCTCCTACCACTATTGTCATAGTGGAAATATGATTGGTGGAAAATCATGTATAGAAGACGAGAAGTGTCCTGGGTATCGAGGCAGCTCAGAGTAATTATATGGGTTGAACTAGTGTGGGTTAGTCAATCCGAACTTAATCATACGGTATGGTATTTGTACTGGTTGGAGTATATACAGATCTTTGCATTGCGAATATTTTTTCTTTTTCCTCGTTGGACGGGAGCAACTGACTATATATGCACCTGTGTCCATATTCTTCTTTTTTCTTCTATATTTATTTTTTGTATAGTTGATTTCCTCCTGGAAGATATGAGAACGATACCGATGATGTACAATTCTTTCTTGGAAGATGGACGATATTTATTTATTTTGGCGCTGGAGAGATGTTATTCTTTTTACTTTATTTAAATTTACGATACAGATATAATGAAATGAACACTCGCATATACCCAGTTGATTGGTTCCACAGCTTTGATACAAATGCAGTGTGTTCGAATATCCATATCATGATGTTGATTGGATCTGAGGTTTACCATGAAGCCATTCAACCACCCAGCCCCGCTCCAACACCCTCTACCACTAGTTCTCCTGCTCAAAAATCGAACATCCAACCAACATGTATGTTCTACATACCTCTTTCTTTTACTTCATCTCTATTTATAGTGATTCTTCACTGCTCCGAGCCCCCTCCCGATCCCGCCAAATCTTTAGTTCGTTAAGCGGAAGGTTGTGTAATAAAGCCTCTACATAAAGAGGAATTATTTGATAATTGTCTTGGATTGTATAACAGTGTACGTTATAAAAATTGCAACTTTTGATATCCCTCCCGCCAAAAAGAACACCGGTAACGCCGTTCCTATACATCGATATCTTACACCGCCAGTGCTTCCATCCACCCTTCCTTCCCTCTCTCCCTATATCATATATCCAATATCCAAAAGAGTGGGTCGGTATCTATGCCTTCTTCTGACTAGCCTGCCACTTCTTAATCCTCCTCTTGATATCACCAATACTCTGTTGTCGAATATTTAACTCTTTATCCCAAAACATCGCCTGGTAGTCGTCGCCATGCTTCGCCACCAGTCGCTGTACCCAATCGGTTTCTCGATCACTTTGTAGTCTTTCGGTTTTCACTTCCAAGGTTGCTCTGTGCTTCAGTGCGCGTACTAGATCTGTTTCGGTTTCCAAGCCAGATGGTGTTTCCCTCTCGTCATCGTCGTCGTCATCGTCACCACCCAATGTATCATAGAGTAAGTTCTTTGAGTATTCGACTTTTAAGATTGACCCATCTTCGCCTCGTGTGATCCGTGCTTCTTGATGGCCTAGGGCATTCGATTTGGCGGGTTTGGGGTCTTTGACTTTTGAGGGTTGTTGTTCTTTCCCGCCAGTGGCGGTTTTGAGACGGTGTGTTAGGCCGAGACGGGCATAGCTATAGATGAGACATCAAGTAAGTATTAATTCTTAAGAATTGGGTAGTATTAAGGTTAATATCGATAGGAAACGGAGATGATTGCTTACTTTTGCGCCAGTGTCTGATTCTTATCCCACGAATCCGCGACCAGTTTACTGCCTGTGATGTTTGGTCGTTTGCGTATATTTTGCTTTCGCCGTGTGACTTTATTAATCGACGAGCGATTCTTCTTCTTCTGGAGTTCGCGACCCATGTTTTCTTGAGATTATACTTCGAGAGTAATGTTTAGGTTGGGTTTGTGGTGGTTGAAAGGTTGAAGATAGGTTGTAGTTTTTTTTTTTTTGGTAGGGAACCAGGCGCTGTTTGAATTTTGAAGCTAAGCAGACCTGCCAAAATTTTTCTGGGCTTTGACTGGTCAAGTGCCAAGACCTTAAATTAGCGAAACCAAAAGCTCGAAAGCCATCAAACCATCAAACCGAACCATCAACCTTCCAAATCTTCAACTGTTTAGTTATTCCGACCATCGCGATCCCACCCCGCGAATCAACGAAATCATCACAACCATCACACCTTTCAATCCGACTGCAAATAACAATCCCCCCTTTTTTAGATAAAAGGGTAGATAGACACCCTTATACCCAGCGATGAGCGGGACCGTTACCGATGTCCGTGACGTCCTCGGCATCGACCCAGGAGCACTCGAACCACGCCAACCACCACTCAAGAAGCAACGAACCGTCGAAAAACGTCCAGACGGTATAACCCGTGAACTCTACGCGCTTCTCGGCGAAAACGCACCCCCCGTTGCCGTTGTCGAACATAGATTCAAAGATAAACCCAAGTTTCTGGGATCCGTTGCACCTTGGAGAGAACAGACTTTTAAGAATCCAGCACGAAAGGATGGATTAGAATTAAAACACTGGGTTAGGCAGAGTTCTCTGCAGGAAACTTCTGGTGGTGGTATAGATGGGGACCAAGAAGGAGGAGGGCAACAGACTTTACCATTGGATTATCAGTTTGCGAAGTTTAACATCAGTGTCAACCTTTTGGAATACTCGGACGCGGAGTACGACGCCGTTTTGAAGGATGACGACTGGTCGAGACAGGAGACGGATTATCTGTTCAGGTTGATAAAGGAATACGATCTGAGATGGGTTGTTATTGCCGACCGATTCGAATTCGAGGGGAAGGATAGGACGATGGAGGATTTAAAGGCAAGGTATTATTCTGTTTGTAGGAACGTGATGGAGATGAGAACTCCTGTCACGATGATGTCAGCGGAGGAAGGTGCTTTATATAGTGCCATGCATTATAATAAAGAGCAAGAAGTGGAAAGGAAGAGGATCGTTCAGATGCAGCTTTATAGAACACCAGCGGAGGTCGAGCACGAACAGCATTTGATCGCGGAATTGAGACGGATACATGATAGTCACCAACAGTTACTCGAGGAGAGAGAGGAGTTGTTCAACAGACTGGATTACCCACAGTCTACCGGTTCGATTGCAGCATACCAAGGATCTCAGGGTCTCGCTACACTCGCTCAGAACATCTTGAACACCGACAGAAATAAGAAGAGGAAGTCTATCGTCGCACCGCCAGGACAACCCGCGGAGAAGGAAGAACCTCCTGCTAAAGCTACACCAGCTGCCGCCGCCGCCGCCGCCGCCGCCAGCCCAGCAGTCTCGCGGCAAGGCAGTATCGCCGAGCCCGCAAGAGCCCACGGACACCAGCGGAATGAGTCGACAGCAAGTGCCTCGGCCCCGACACCACTGAAGGACAAGAACAAGAGCAATATCAAACAACTCTCCAAAGCCGAAGAGGCACAATACAACCTTTCTCATCATGAGAAACTCCAACCTGGAGTTTTCTTCCGAACCATGAAGATGAACTTGCCAAAAGCTAATTCCTTTATTAACAAGAGTCCAGCTATCATGGCCGAGCTTAATATTCCGCAAATATTATCGATGCCCACATCAAAGACCTGCGCTAAATACGAAGTTCTTGCAAAGGAAATTGCTGCATTGATGGATATTAGGAAGCAACTTGAGAAGGTTGAACAAGAGACTAGGATTTTTAAGACTCAAGAGGCCATGGGAGGCGATCGGTCGAAGCGTAGTGCTAGCGTTCTCAGCGATGTATCAAGGTCTTCGAAGCGTCCGAAGAAAGAAAAATAAACTGCAACCCCTTAGGCTTCGCTTTATCGGTCCACTCTTCTCTTCGTTTTTTTTTATTTTGTTATTTAGCTATGTCTCACTATCAGGCGTTAACGGGAGCTTTAGGACGGAACAATTTCTTCTTTTTAGCTCGGCTTTTATGTATCTTATATGGGATTCAACATATCTCCTCTTAATGACAGCAGAAATCACACACCCCAACTGTCGATTGACCAGTGGGAGGGGGTTTCTTAAGAATGGCTTGGCCGTGAGCACTTCTCGACTTCAATTCAAATCCATCTAGTAGAGACCCGACGCAGTGATCTTCCAGGTTCCATCAGGTTGGATAACATGCGTCTGCCCAGAGCCACCTGCGACTCGACAGGAGCTCTCGGTCTCAATTCTATTATCTTCCCGTAATTTAATATGGAAGCCCTATTTCCGGGTTAGCGGGGGGGAAGTTTCAACTTCGAAAGATTGAACAGATGTATATATAGCTTACTCCATAGAAACCTGGGATGGGACACCAAAGACTAAGACCCGGTAGCTCAAGAAGAACCTCAACAGTCGGGATTTGAAATTTCTTCTCCTCGATCTAATACCACCACCCACGATTGTTAGTTTCCCAAACAATCCAATATACCTAAAACGAATGGAGGAAGGAAGGAAAAAAGAATCATACTATAGACGCCACCCGACTCATAATAACCTCCTCTAGTCCCTTCTGAAGATTCTTGATGGTCTGCTCGTCCAACTGACGTTCATAATGTGGTTTCAATGCATCCAGTATCTCTCTAGACCTATGGTTTTTCTTTGCAATCTCATATGCATTCTCCTTCGTATCCATAGTACGAATATTTCTATAAGCTCCGAGAGATATGAGTCTCTCAATATGTGAAATGGTGGAACTGGACAGCATTGCAGCTTGGTGAAGGGTTGTCCAGCCGGATGCGGGTCTGGTGTCTTCAGGGCCTATCATTTATCATAATTATAACATCCATAAGTATATTAGCAACGGTCTTAACTTACATCTGGATATCGATACTAAGTACTTATATCCGCATGTAGATATAGATAGATAGATAAATAATAAATTACTTACTCCTCAACCTCCAACCATTCACAATAGAACTTTCTTCAATACACTCGAGAGCTTTATCGAACCTTCCGTTAAACGCATAGTCTGCGAGTTTGTTACGTTTGGCGGCATAGTTGTCGTGGTATGTTGATGTGAGACAGCCGCCGGCCCATTCGTGATGCATCTTTTGTCTGATTATACTCTTTTGAATTGCGACAAAGGGGAATGGAGGATTGAAGGTTACTCGATATTTATATTTAACTGAAGTATTATTAAGTATTTTAGAAAAGAAAGATCGAACCATAAAATATCGCTCAGAGTCGATAGAGTTTCGATTCAATCCAGGGCTGAGCTGCTGTGCATGTGCTAAGTCGTCGAGTACGAGTCAAGCCGTGTATATCAAGAGGAGGGGGGGTTCCAGTGTGGTCTTTATATGTGTTGCCAATGCTCCTTCCAAGAAAACGAGGCTGAAAGAAAGCGAAATCCATCCAAATCCATCCAACTTTTAGCTAACTCTCGCTAGCTAGTGAGTCTTCTTCACTTTCATCTTCTTGCGATCATAACGACACGTCTGCGACAACAGTCATCGTCAGCCTTACGCTCCATCTGCCGGCCTCATCTCTGGCTTTTTACATAATATCATCACTCCTTAAGTACTTACTCAGCTAGGAAGCATACCTAGCACTCACATTCGCCACCATGCAGGGCTTCAACATGGGCAGGTATTTTCATGATCATGGTCGGTCCCTTGGCCATCCCCCTTCCCTTCCTTACCATAGTAGTAGAATTACTAGTAATAGCAATGTATACTAACCCCACCATACCTTTTATTTATACAGGTACCTGCCACCGGACTGGGACCCTTCCAAGATCAACTGGAACAAACAAGCCGGAAAATCCCACGCCCTCGGAAACCGTGCCTCGAAACTATCATCCCAAGGATCCCTAACCGTCCGGTTCGAAACTCCCTTCAACATCTGGTGTTCTCACTGTAACAACCATATCGCCCAGGGCGTCCGATTCAATGCCGAAAAGAAGAAGATTGGGAATTACTATACCACTCCGATATTCAGCTTTCGGGTGAAACATAGCGTCTGTAATGGATGGATTGAGATTCATACGGATCCTAAGAATACGACTTATAAAGTAGTCGAAGGCGGGAAGAGGCAGAGTGAACCGGAACCGGATCGGGAAGGGGTGATCAAGATCAGAGACCCCGAGGAGATAGATCGGTTGGAAAATCCATTTGCGAAATTGGAACAAAAAGCGACGGATAATGCGGAAAAATCACAACATGCGAAGAGACTCGACGAGCTATCCAGGTTATCGGATCGAATGTGGGAGGACCCGTATACGCATTCGCAGAAGGTTAGGAAGATATTCAGACAGGAGAAAAAGGCGAGAAAGGAGGTTGAGAAGGATACAGAGGCTATTAGGGATAAACACAGTCTTGCGATTACTTTACTCCCAGAGACGAATGAAGATATACGACTTGCAAAGTTGGTGGATTTCTCAGATGGGCAGTATATGAAAGCGGTCGATGAAGCTCACTCACGACCACTATTTGGAGAGGCGGAGAAAATAGTCGAAAAATCGATAAGACGGGATGGCAAGCCGATGTTGAAAAAGGACATTGCGATGAAGCAGAGCAAGGAGCGGTTACAACGGGACCTAAGAAGATCGACTAGGCAGAAGATGGATCCGTTTTTACAGGATACATTTGATTCTTCAAGGAAAGAACAAGACGGTGCAGAAGTGGGAGTATGGCTGAAACGAAAACGGTCACGACCTCTAATGTCAAATCAAGATAAGTCCACGGCCGGGAATGAGGAAGTGGTAAAAAACCAGGACGCCCCAGTCGGTGTGGTGCAAGATGATGTTAAAGGATCCGGACTTGGGCTGGTAGAATATGGCTCAGATTCTGACTCCTAAAACCCTTCTTCTTATCGTCTTTGAATTGTGGTTTTGGGGTATTGGTTTTAATACATTTTAGCGATATCATTGGGGGAGTTTACGAGTTTAACGAGCTGTTATGATAGACTAGACATAATGGAGCATGAGCATATGCACACTGCAAACCTTGTACTTTATAATATCCTTACGAGAGAGAAAAAAGAAGTAAACCTCCGAAGAAAATTCAACTTTATGCTCTCGCTTTTCCAATTAAATACATATTTCCATAATTTTCGCGTGAAAGAATCGAATACCGATTAATTTCAGGCATCATCATCATGCACTAAAACACCCCGGTCAAATCTAATCGTAACTAACATCGAATTCGATATCACAGATTTGAATTCCAACACCATTCAACACACGGATCTAGATCTAGAGATTTATCACACCGCCACGCGGACCGTTCCACCACATGCATCATGAGCCTCCCCAGGCTCGTTTTTCGACCGGCGTACCTTAGGTCGTCATCGTCATCGTTGTCGTGTCGTCCAATTCTATCGCGAAGCTTCCACGCGAGTAGATTCGATTTGGGCATCAAGATTCTATTCTGCGGTTCCGATGACTTTAGCTTGAGATCCCTGAAGGCCCTTCAAGCAATTCAAGAGTCTACTCAGAACTCAAGTATCGAATCTATTGATGTTGTCATCAAACACGAGAAGCCTAGTGGACGGGGGTTGAAGGGTCACAGGGCTAGTGAGTATTATTCTAATCCTGAGAGTTTCATTATACATACTTCTATATATATTCGTACAGAATGCTGATGATTCACCGGGTTGGTTTTTGTTTAGATCCAATAAGAGATTTTGCGGAGTCGAAATCTTTGAATATATTCTCGTTGGATGAAGAACAATTTAACGATTGGGAAGTACGTTTAGTCATTCATTCAGAATATCTCTGTTCTATATCCTTCGTTTATCTTCTTTTATTTTTATTTTTATTTTATTTTAAAAGATAATTTCATGGATTTACAAAGCTAACTTACTTGGGAGCCACCCCGTACTGTAGACTTGATCATTGCAGTATCATTCGGGCTGTTCATCCCCAGTCGTATTCTTGAATACGCAAGATTCGGAGGACTCAACGTACACCCATCGTTCCTACCAAAGTAAACACCATCATTTTATCCCCCTACCCCTCTTTTTTGAAAAACAATATATCTTTCTCTTAGAAGACTAAAGAAAAAATATATATATATCTTTAGATACTGGGGTGCATCACCAATCCAGCATGCCATAATCAACGACGACAAAACCACAGGAGTAGTAGTCCAAACCCTTCACCCCGAAAAATTCGACGCAGGCAGAATAATCGCCAAAAGCGACCCCGTAGACATCGAAGTCGACACCACAATCTTCCCACCACCGATCAGCCACCCAGAATCACCATATCGAAAACTTGAATCCAAACTCGGTGATATAGGTGCATCTCTTCTCACGGACGTAATAAAAAACCAACATTATGACCACGTAGTCCAACAGAGACTCCCCGAAGTCGAAACCGGCGAGACAAGGAAACGTGCTCCACTTTTGACGACAGAAGACTCAAGGATTATCTTTGAAGAAATGACGGGGAGGGAGGTGTTCCTTCGTAGTTTGGTCTTTGATCATCTATTCTGCTATAGACGGAAGTTAAAGGCCTCGAAGAAAGCTCAACATTTTGTCAGAATGACAATGGGACCTTTCCGTCTCCCGACCCCGGAGGAGCACAAAAGTTACTTGAAAGGAGCAAAGGAATCGATACAATGGCTTTTTGTACCACATACTTCACCAGTTACTGGGAAAAGGGTAAAGGGGAAACCTGGCAGTGTGGCTTTGCAAATCCGTCCAGAAGAATGGGTATGCTTTGAATCCTGCACTGTCGCAGGGAAGAGCAAGCAGAACGCGAAAGCCTGGGATCAAGTGGACCGCAAAGCCGTCAAGCTCTTCTCCTGGGACAGCGAAAAAGGAAGCAAATGATATCTGACCAAGTTTGAAATCTGAAGACACAATAACTCAGGTATTCCATTTGGATGTTAAAAGAAAGAAAACGCTATTTAGGACCTTCCCATGCTCGCTGAAAATAACAGACTTTGGAAATGTACATACATCAAGAATACGAATCTAGAAACATAGACCGTATAACCCGCTTGAAAATAAAACAAAATACGGAAGAAGAAAAATCTTACAGTTACGATACCCACCTCCTTTTCCCTCATCTTTACTTTTTCTGAACACCTAGGACCATGATGTTCCCAGGTCGAACCTCAATCTTCCAATTGCCTTTAATCAGCATCTTGGATACAGCAGGGCCTAGTCGTGACTGTCCACCTTTACTATGAGTCCCAATACCAGTAATAATGTTAAAGGGAATCACGGCCCTAGTGTCGTTACTATTGATCTGCACCCACCAACTAGTAACCCTTTCATTCGTAATCTTCAGAGCCTGTTGAACAGTGACTCCATGTAGGTCAAGCGTATACTCAGTAGAGTTTTCGTTCACCAAAGCTTCAGCAGCCATATGACTATACGCCTTCAGTCGGGTTCCGTGATTTTTACCCTCTTCGGCATAGTAAGTAGCAACAGCACCCATCAAATGATCACTTTTAGAGCGACGATAAGCAGCCGAAGCCTTGTTATATGCCTCATTCCGAGCTGCAGCGTGGTCGTTAGCAGTAAGGGCTGCGGTTCGATAGGACATTCGTGGCGACGTGGGGCTTCTCGGTGAAGTTGGAGTCCTTCTCGGGCTAACCACGAAATTCCAGGGATCCGAAGAAGGTACGATTGAAGAAGTTGGACTCTTTGGATTCGGGGTTTGTGGGGTAGTTTCCACGGTAAGTTTGTGAAGTTGTCTTCTATTCAGTAGTTCTGCGAATTTAAATGCGCTGGGGATGTCGTCCTTGCACATTTTGACCAGACCGACAACGTGAGACTGTAGCAACCTCGGGTGCTTCGCCATGATGGAGCTAATATTTTCAAGATGCGATGCGTCTTCGGGAATTGTATCACCTTCTCCATGGCTTTCAATCAATGCAACCAATGTGCTCGACAGACTCCCATGTTTATGGTATGCTGATTTGGCAATTTGGGGGGGAACATTGAGTTTGGTGGCCAAGAAAGTGACCTCCGTCTCCATCTGCTCCCACTTCGATGGTGCAGTACCCCCACCAGCGGCATCAAGCTCCTCCAATATATTCCCACTTTGAGATTGCCGGTTAACCTTCTTCTTCCCCTTACGCCTACTACTATTCAGATGCATAGAATCTTCCGAAAAGGCCTCAACACCCTTCAACCCTTCCCCTTCACCGTCCAAAAACCCAAGGTTGAGTAGCTCATCAATAGCGCGGTCGACATCACTGCCACACTTCTGAAGGGTATGGCGTAAGGTAAAAACCGCGGTCGATGGGAACATCACGGTTAACGGGTATACTGGATCGTCAGCTGTTATCTCCCGATCACCACCGGCACCTTTTTCGCTTTTACTAACGCTAGTTAGCGTAGTATTAGTGTCTTCGTCGGTAAAGACATTATAGTTGTTGAAGTCGGATAGGTCGGCTCCGTCGGCTTCGTCTACTATAGTTTCGGCCTTGAGAGTATCCAAAATGTCGCGGGCGTCTTCGACATTATCGTAATCAAGTAAAATTGCCAGAACAATGGCGCTGTCGAGCGGTGGGCAATATTCTTTCTATAAGTTGGACCCCAAAATGGGGGGTGTTTTAGCGGGGTTCTTTCTTTTTCACTTTTTTTTTACGCCATGGTAGGCAATCAGGCTCGTGCGCCGGTGGGTTAAGGGAGGGATTGCCTACCAGAAGCTGGCCCATAGGGTCGCTCGATGCTTGGCTTGTACTCATTGGTTTTTGTGTGTTTAGACTCGGTCATTACGTCGCGGAAGGGAGACTTTTTTGTATGTTGATGTTAGTGTGGTGTGAATGTTGGAGCAAAAGTGGGTGGTGTCGGTCAGTTGGTGATGTTTGTTGTGGTGGAAGGGAAAGTTACCGCGCAAGGCTGCGTATTTTAGTGCCCAGTGGCACAGGTTTTTTCAAGGATTCGATCTTCAGGGCAAATCAAGTGCGCATGTACTCTAAAAACCTAACTTTCTTAAAATAGGAACAATAAAATATAGTAACTTGTGATCATGAAGCTTTAGAAATCTCTGCGTAGTAAGTGATTATAAGGAGTAACTGGGAGTATTTCGAGGTTCTAGACTAAAGACTCTTTATATATACAAAAGCGGCTGTCATAATTGCACTGACTCAGCTCAGCACAAGCCGCTTCGGCTCTGAGTAACAATTAAACCGTATAACACCGCAAGGCTGACAAAGCACCATTTGGGACTACTCGAGCTCTGATGTGTAATATATAATACATGCATGCATTACGCAAGATGGATTGTGAAAGCGGTATCAATATCAATTGGTATAATGGTACCGGCTAATACTCAATGCGAGTGGTGAAAAATCCTACTCTTCAGCTGCCAGCGCTTCTATATCCGCGACTTCTTTAGCGGCATTCACTGAAAGAATCACCGGACTGGTTTCATCCACACAGACACTATCTTCAATTCGAATTCCCATACCCTGGAAGTGGAGAGGGTATTTGTTATCCCTCGGGACGTATATGCCTCTGTATCCCCCATTAGCTTGGATAATGGAAAAAAAACGATGTTGTGAGAGGGGGGGGCATACGGTTCAATTGTAACGCACTGTCCGGTCTTAAGCTTTAGAGCTCGACCATAGGAACTAACATCATGAACATCTAGTCCCACATAATGACCCAGATGATGAGGAAATAAGGTTTTCGTCAAATCCTATTACCTTAATGTCAGGATAAAATACCAATCGATCCGAAAATAATGTAGGAACATACCCTGAGGCTGATATTAAAACCAAGCGATCTCAACCCAACCATGAGTTCTTCCTCTGCAATTCCATGTAGCTCATCAAGCGACATCTTTGCATCTTCTCGACATAGACCCACACATTTCCTCTGTACTCCGAGAACGACTTCGTAGAGGTCCTTCTGTGGGTCTGTGAATTTGCCGTTGACGGGCCATGTTCTTGTTATATCCGTAACGTATCCACCATAGGACTACTGATATCAGCAAATCACCCCAAAACTTGAGGAATTAGATATACTTACCCCACCGGCATCCACCAAGACGAAATCGCCATCTTTCAATAACTTATCATTCCGAGTATAATGAATCTTCAATGCATTATCACCACCTCCAACCACAGGAACATACGCCGACTTTTCACACCCTCCCATCCTAAACTGATATTCCAAGAAAGCCCAAAGATCTGACTCGCTCTTCCATCGCCTTTCCATCGCTTCATTGAATGCTCGTCCTGAAATCCTTCCAGCACTTCGCATGTTCGTTATCTCAGCAAAGCTCTTGAACGACCGTAACAGGTGAATCCTAGGTTTGAGCGGTTGGGGCCGCTCAATGGGTTGAGTTTCTCCTTTAAACTTCGCCAACAGACCGACTAGCGTCTGCTTGAGACCGTCCGGTTTGGCAGATATGTCTGTATATACCACTTCTGCCCTCCTTATGATTGGCTCTAAGTGGCTTTGGAAATGCTCAAAATCTCCGGCCTGTGATTTGTATTTAGTAACCTGCGTTCAATGAAATGATACCGTTGAATAGGAAGAACTTACATTGTCAGCGCCGAAAACTTCATACGCTCCCTCGATACCCGATCTCGGGCCTTCCCATGCTTCAGAATGTTCATCCTTTGGTCTTACGAACAAATGAAAGATATGTTCCCCGTTCGGTCCCGTTTTTTCTGTATCCAATATTAGTTCGAATATTCTAATTCTTTAGACACCATATTTTATCCAAAAAAAGTACCTACAACCCCAACAGCGTCTGGTTCCAAAAATCCTATAGTGGAAAAAACCAAAGTTAGATCTCTACTTCTATAAATTCGAAAATACCCCAAACTTGATGACGAACCTGTTAGGTAAAAGAAATCCGGATCTTGATGAAACTCATAAAATACCGGCCCAGACCGATACTTCAACGAAGCAGCCTGGAAGATCGCGACACCACCGTCGGGTAGTGCCTGCGCAAGTTTCCTTCTTCGCTCGAAATATTCACTTCCTTGAATTCCTCTCGTCACTAAAAAAAAAGACATTTAAATTGTAAAATCAGCCCCTAATGAACCCCCATAAATTGATTAAAAATCGACTACACTACTTACATTCCCCAGCCTTCAGTAGATGCGGATGTGTTTCCGGCGTCGGTTGCCCAATAACAAGCCGATAATTCTGTTGTGCGGCTTCCGTCGCATATGAACGACGGATAGTCGATGCAATCGGTGCGGGATATGGTCTTCCCGACCTAGGACATATCGCAGCATCCGCGCTCCTCAGAGCCCTTCGGACAGTCAATGCGACTCTACTCCGAGCGTGCATTTTGGTGATATGGATACCTGAATGGAGTTGGCGTCTCAACCTTTGTTGTAATTTGTCGAAGCCGAGCCTGAGTTACGAGACCGCCTGATACTTGCATATTGAAATTTTATGCGAGGATGGTAACAAACCTTCAACACAACCTAATGTTGCAGACTTCATGCGTCTTGCGCCGTTGGGCGCAAGTATCTCGAAATATCAATAGGCAGTTTCATGAACAAAATATATGTACCGTGTGTCATAATTATAAACTATAGCGAATTATGGAAGGCCCGTGACGATGTTTAAAGTTATGGTAAAATCTAATACATTTAACAAGATGTGACGTTTGAGTCCTAGTAACGACGACCACATATGGCTAGTTATTTTAGAGCTTTGAGACGACAGCGTCTATCTGGTACACAACTACTTATATATATTCTTACACTTCAAGATCGATCATAATTATACAATAAGATATATTACAAAGTCGCCCATCAAGCAACTGCAACATTCCTGAAGAGCTGCGACACTGGAATCATACCATCGTCCTCTTCGTCCTCAGACTGCTCATCAAGCATCCGCCTCTTTTGACCCATTAAACTTGAAAAGAATTCACTAAATTATCGCGCGATTAGCTTGTCATTCAAAAAAATATTGGACTCCAACTCAGAGGCAAGACCTACTCTATCTGTTGACCATGCCATGACAGCGAATCATCTGGCATCATGAAATTCTGAAGCTTCTCATGAACGTGGTACCTCAACTTTCTTCCCTTCGAAGCCTTCGTGTCCACGTTCGCTCTCTTCTTCTTGACCTTAAGTTCCTGAAGATCAGCAGGAGCAAGTTGGATAACCCCTCCATTAGTAGCACTGTTGCCTCTCTGTTCCAGTAGCACCAAGAGCAGTCGCTTGTAGAAGTCTGTATCATCGTAGATGCTTGCGTCTTCGTCGACCTTTCGAGCCTTCTGTACCGGTGCTGACTCCTGTGGCACCTTGGACTTGGCCACTTCCCCAGATACATCCACAAGATGCTCTCGTAGTTGAGAAGATATAGTCTGCACCGTTGTAGATTGGTTAAGCTTCTTCGATGTCGGAACAATATTTGCTGAAGCTTGCACTCTTGATGACCATTTCTCTAAAGTTGAAGTTCGATATACTGCGCTGTTCGATTCCATCTTCTTCATGGCTCCCCAAACTTGGTCTAGGTTGGTATCCCGAGTTATATCCTCATGTTTCCTCTTATTCGTTGCCTTCTTGGAATCTTTTCCATCTCGGGACTTAACGAGGTCATGTCGCAGTTGCGATATCGTATTCCAGAGCGCAATTGCAGCATCTTCGGCTGCTCGGACGGTATCATCAGAGGAATCTAGCGGCTCTTTGGGCAGAGAGTTGACAGATATCAGAGCATTTTTTATTTGCATTCGAGATTTTAAGCACTCGTCGAAGAAAGCCTATGTAATGTCAGTCTCAAACATTCAAATATGATTATGCGTATCTCGTTCAATCGCTCTTACCCTCTGGCCGCGCACAGCTAAACCTTTATCTGCGTCAGCTTTCGCAGATTGCGACAAGTTTGCCACGACATCCCTTCACATCGGTCAGTTTTTGCGCCCATTCCAAGTCAACGGATTCAGACCTACTTTTTTTCTTGGGCCATCATGCTCCGAAGCTCGTCCCTTTGAGATTTCCGGGCATCTTCGTCATCATCGTCGTCCATATCTTCGTCGTCGTCGTCATCGTCCTCATCATCATCTTCATCTTCATCGTCCTCATCCATATCCTCATCCGACCTCATATCTTCCATATCCCCCTCATCGCTGCCCTCATCGCTACCCTCATCATCATCATAGCCAGATATTGTAGCCTGCCTCGACTTCACAGCCTTCCCAGCCTTCGACTCAGGCGAAACAGATAACCTAACACCACCATCCTCAGAATCATGATCATCCTCCTCGCTCGCGTCGGAATCTTCGCCATCATCGCCTTCTTCTACATCACTCTCCTCGTCCTCCTCGTCGTCATTGTCCGATCCTCCATCTCCGTATAGGTCGTCCCGACTTATCGTAGCTCCATTGTATTTTGGATGTAGATGTAAATCCTCGTCTTTGCGAAGTTTGCTCTTTCCTACTTCGACATAATGTTCCCTCCCTGCATTGGAATCTGCTTCACTGGCTACATCTGAGCCGTCATCGTTGTCGGAGGCGTATGGATCTTGTACTGATTCTGGGTCGAATTCTGGATTGAATACATTAGTATCCTATATTGGAGCTTGATATAAAGGATTAGGGATACATTACCTGCTGGCGCCGGGTTTGACAGCTGCGCAATCTGTTCGGCAAGTGATAGCGACCGCGAAGGCATCTTTTTGATACGGTCGGATAGAAAATCGCGGATGAGATATCTAATTTCGCGCGTGTGAAGAAGAGCGAAGAAGAGAAAGAAAGAAAACCCGTTTGAAGTTTCTTGGAAATTTTTTGGTTTCTAACAAGGTTGTCGGCCGAAAAAAGCTTGTCCAATAAAACCACAAACAACACAGTTTTGCTTCCTGATTTGAACTCTCACGACACTCTTAAGCTCAATGCGACTGGAATGCCGTCAGCATGTATCGGCGAGCCTTTCATACCGCGAGGCAGCTATGGCATGAAAACCCATTGGTATGGCCTGCGAAGTACAGTTCCCTAAGTTGTAGGGTATAAACTTATCCCAATACGAAATACAGGGACTTCCACGCTCCGGGGCGCCTCCCCAAATCCCACGGATGCAGCGCGGGCTGCCCCAGAAGAAAAAGATCAAGAATGTGAATAAAGTCATAGCAGTATCCTCCGCGAAGGGGGGCGTGGGGAAGTCTACTGTTGCAGGTACTTACTTCATACACTAAATCATATTCGGTCATGGCATTTTGCTTATCAGAATCCCCGTTTATAGTCAACCTTGCTCTCGGGCTGTCCAGCCTTGGTCGGCGCACTGGTATTCTTGATACCGATATCTTTGGGCCTTCTATACCACGGCTGTTGAATCTCTCCGGAGAGCCTCGGCTGAGCGAAAGTATGCATTTCGCCCAAATATAACTCGAGTTATTCGGGCATATGATTAACATACATGCATGAATCAGATAATCAACTCATCCCACTATCAAACTATGGACTACAGTCTATGTCTATGGGCTACCTCGTTGATCCCGAGAACGCCGTAGTATGGCGCGGTCTTATGGTCATGAAAGCTCTACAGCAGCTCCTGCACGAGGTCGAGTGGAGTGAACTAGATGTCCTAGTTTTGGACTTGCCACCAGGAACTGGTGATACACAACTCACCATCACCCAACAGGTCGAATTGGATGGTAAGTGAGAGTGGATTATATCGAAAAGTTTCAGCTTTGCTTGTTAACAAGTGGTATAATCTAACTTGTGCTCGCGTGTAATAGGCGCCGTCATAATCTCCACCCCACAAGACATAGCCCTAATAGACGCCATCAAGGGTATTGATATGTTCTCCAAGGTCAAAGTCCCCGTAAGTACCCCCACTCACCCCTCAAGGATCCCCGATACCCGTCTCCCCGGTGGCCCCCTTGACCGACTGTCATCTGAACACGTTTATTCTAGATTCTCGGAATGGTGCAAAACATGAGTATATTCACCTGTCCAAACTGCTCGCACTCGACACACATCTTCGGCCAAGACGGTGTCAACAGGGAATGTCAAAAACGTGATATCGAACTTCTAGGCAACATCCCCCTTCACCCTTCAATCTGTCAAGACGCAGATGCTGGTCGCCCATCAGTGATCAAGGATCCGTCCGGGGAAACCGCAAAAGCGTTCCTAGAAATTGCGGGGAAGGTAGACGGAAAACTGTTCCCGTGATTGCGAATCACTATACGAGGGAAGGATCTGTATAGATTATCTCCAAATCTCATCCATATTAAAAATTAAATAGCATATATAGTGTACCTAAGAATATATATAATGTATTGCTATGGAATCAGGAGAGAAGCACAACATTATCAGCCTTTAACACCTTGTGATACTTTATATGTGTCAGGTCTGGCCCAAATACGTAAAAACCGTTACCCCGTATATACCCCGACTTCCGGCTAAATCCAACCCACTTCGTGACTCCGAAGGAAACCATCGACAATCACCCCATAATGCCCCCCATTGTCCTTTCTAATACAATATAAAACACCCGTACGATCTATATAGATTAAATGCGATCACAAGGGTCTACCCCACAATGAATCTCCAGAGTTGCAGCCATTCCTCGGATCCAATTGCTATGATGTGCATGTGCAACTTGCGCTACCCCGCCGTATAAAATCAAAAGACCCTTATTATATATTAAGCTCTGTATTAGCCCTCCCGAAATGGCGTTAACTCCGTTTCTTTGTATTCTACCACTTCCATAGTATACGGAAGAATTGGCCACAGTCTTTTATATCCATCATCTGACGCTTTGACATGGACAGGGCAGCGGGTTTATAGACTCCTTTGTCCAGTAGAAGCTGGCCAACAGGCTACCCATGTGATAGCATCTAGAATACCCGGTTAATTCTTACTGTCTCTTTCCGTACCGGCTTGCATTTCCCTACCGTCAACGTCTACACGCCACGGCGCTGCAGTTAATTTACGGAACCCGACAGAATTCCTATTGGTACCAGGGGTTTATATTCAAGCGAGGCGTTTTTCCCCCTTCATCCTCTTGCTTTTTTATCTACCCTTCTCGAAGCATCGCCTCACGAGTATCCAGGGATTGCCTAGCGAATCCATCATTCATATATTAAAAACCCCCATGCTACTTATGCTACATACTATTTTACACCTATTTTTGCCTCCTCCCACCCCGAAACTCCGATAACATTCCGAAGCGCCCACACCCCGCCAGTACCGGCCAGATGGTCAGAAATCCTCGTTTTTGACACCGGGTATGTCTGTCGATCTCCTTTTCTGACAAGTGCGCAGGGACAGGAGTCTAAAGATGGGCGGGAATATCTCGTAATCGTTCCGCAACCGTTGGTTCGCAAATTAGATTAACCATCCTAGGCACACATCTTGTCCCAGAAAACTAAAATAAAAACGAGTAATATGTGCGAGTAATTGTTGACGCCAACCGAAGAGCCTCCGGCATCACGGAATTCAAGATCACGATGCCCCGTCAAAGGAAAACCTGCTCAAACATTCACCCGTTTGTACTTCCTAGGATCTTTTCTACTCATCCTCGTTTTATCCCTCGTTCCTATATACAATCCCAAAACATCGTTAGTTAAAAACTTCCCTGCCGGTCACATTACCCATTCCAGTAATAGACATGTGCTCTAAAATGCATGGATATAGGAGAAAATCCCTCCTGCACCACGAAAACAAAGATGTCGTGCGCATGCATGGATACATCGCCCTCCGGGACCGTTTGGTCGAAAATGGAGAAAGCATCCATTCCAGCTGGGTGTGAGACAACCATTCCAGAGAGTGAGTTAGGTATTAGTCAGGAAGAAGACTAACCTTTACCACCTTCCCAGAACCCAGAGTTTTTCGAAACAAAGGAGTGGCCGCAGAAGGCACAGTCATCTGGGCGATAATTCTGTTCGCGAGAACAAGCTCCACAAATCTACATATCGCAATGATACGTTAGCATTCGGAAATCTACTACCCCATACTTCCGCTTCCCCACACCCGTCTGCGGTCGAAAAAGTTGAGATGCCTAGCCTCGGTTAGATGGAGGCTAGTCAGACTTCGGGGTATAAGCGCATGATCCATCAATCATAACAGGCCATGAAGCAAACAAGAATGTCAAAAACGTAATGAAAACACCGTTCACGATGTCAAACCCGCTGCCTGGTACTTATGAAATTGCAGGTTTCATACAATGTACGACAGCAAGTTTCACGAAGTCAGACTTAACAGTGCCGCGGTCCGAGAATTCTCCTTGGGACCGGCTAAAAGACGATAATTCCTCCAGTACGCGCATGCGCATGCACGCGGACCGTCACGGGGCAGCGAACACAGTAATCGAGTCAGGAAACACTCACCATTCTATTCGCATGTTCACTTGGATGTCGAGGTTCCACAGAACCATCGTGGCATCTAAATATGATTTGAGACCATCGAGTCAGCCCACTGCCCACCCACATTTAATAATAGGATTGGTTTCTTCGCTTGTGAATCTGAGGTGCATTAGCTGATGCGGCTTGCAGCCTCTCGTGTGTGGTACAGGAACCTCAAGCGGCATGACCAAGAAGCGAGAAACAAGGCAGCCGCAACAAACCATCCCCCACACCGACGCAACTCGACTAAGAACAAACGTCTTCAGTCAGCTCGGAATGCATGTATGTAACACACACACAGACACTACCGAGTACCGCGATCTTTTACCGAGTTGCTCAGGTCGGTTAAATGGGAGATCAATGATCGACGCTGTGTGTTGTGGATCTTCCCGGGAAGCCCGAGGATGTCGATCAATTCCGGGGAATGGGTAATCTCGGGAGCCGATACGAGGCTCTGGGGAGCTTGGCCGGGGGGAAACTAACTTATCGCACGGGAAAACTTTATTGCAACTGGAATTTCCTGAGTTAGCTATGAAATGGGTAAAATAAAATGGTTTCCGGGAAAATAGGTAGACACGGAGAATGTAGTTCACGCAAGCAGCATCACCCATAGTCAAGATAATATATGGTGGAGAGAGTGACGGATGGTGTTCTCCCCAGCCCGTCGAATATCAAAAGAATGGGATATTGATGAGTGCGGTTTGAAAGGCGGCTCGGGTAAACTCACCATGAGAATCTGCAGTAAGATAGATCGAAAGTTAGCCGGCATCAGAGTATAATAAGCACGGAAAGTCTATAGACTCTTCCATCAAAGGATTTCCGGGAAACCCCCATTCCATCCAAAACGGTAGTTTGACCGATTGGGTGTGTTAGGACCCGACAGTTTGGTTCCTGGGTGGTCCGTGCCACACACCCACCGACTCATGAACAGGCGGCCTCGTTCGCACACCGTCATGGCTGTCTGACAAGAAACTTTCAAAGATGGTGTGAAGAAGATCGACACTCACCGAAACCATCGAGTAGATTTACTACCCTCCACCAATTAAAACCCAGCATTCACCCGAATTAGTCCACCTGACAGCTTCTCCAAATACGGTAGGTGTCTGTCGCCCCGAAACTAGAGATCTAGAGCTTCAAATAAGATCCAGACCTCTAGCTTCATAGGCTTTACAGATCGAAGGTGGGGAATCTCCAAAGACGTACCGATAATGTGCACATCGCCCTAAAGTCGTACAAGCTTTTAGCATGATCTTCTTCCCAAGTACAAAATAAGGGTCCAACTAGACTTGCCTTTCAGGGGTAATTCAGTGCCGGCCACAAGACCCAAATTTTCTTTCTGTAGATCGCTCTTGCGTCAACCTCCCATCTTTATTCTAACGGCGGCTAGCAATACGTCGATGCCGCATCGTTTCCAAGATCTTTGTGTTGGGCTCACCTGACGCCGTACATGCCCACCCGCTCCGAGGTCGACTAAAAAATATGACGACAGTGATCATTAGCATCCCGAAATATATGCGCTCCAATATAAATTTATAGAGGCTTTGACGTAAATGATTATGAATTGCAAAAGAAAAGGCTGCAGCCTCGCGCCGGGGTGCCTCTTCTAAAGAGCCTAGAGGGTGTAAAAAGGCTACTTACCATCGTCTTCCGATATCTTCAAAAACCGGATTTCGGGTATAAAAAGACCTATAATATGCATGAGCATGTGAAGCCGTTCAAACTCTGGAATAAGGTTCACTAGTTCGCACTCATTTTGGCAAAACATGACCTGCAATTCGCAAACATAGATTGGGATCGGGTTACTCCCTGAATACCGCTTGTCAATGTCGTGCTGCAGCCTGCGCATGTAGGTACGAATTCACTACGATGCAAGTTTTCAATTTTAGCCGATTTTCACTGCGGATGGGATTTAAGTTTTGGAACACATCTGCAGTATTTCGCAATAGAGCACATGGGATTGTTTCAAAATTTCGAGATAGCAGGGCGTCCGCTCTGCAGGACCCATGCATCCCTATGTAATCGGCATCTTGGGTTTTTGTCACATACCTTGGAAGCAAATCTACAACAGTACAACCCGAAAGATCAAGAAATCCTGCACGTGTGTGATTTTCATGAATGAATTCTCTTCTGAAATCTAAAATCGACATAGTTATCGAAAAGCAAAATGCAAAATATAAGTCAGAAACAGATACAGTACTGAAGGGTAAAAAACAATTTGGTGGGGTGTATGAACCTATTCCTATGACGCTGGAACATTTCTCGCAACCAAGTAACTTTGGGCGACTATGCTTGTTTTCTTTGGCTTTGATATTGTTGATGTCGGCAACGGTTTTGCATCGAGTGCATTTCATGGTCAAATTGATCGTCTTTAGTTCCAACAGCTCGATATTTTTCAATTTGATATCAGGAAACGAAATCGAAGTACCGCGCTCTATCGATGAAACAAAAACAGGCGCTGCCACATCAGAATCTTGTTGGAGATTCTGACTTGACTCCGCCGATTCCTCTTTCTCTTCTTCGGAGCTAGATACTTCCTCTGAATCGCTTTCAGAATCCTCTAGCTCCCACTCCGGTGGTCGAGTTTTTTCTATAATGATTATACGAGGTTTCTCAAGAACGACGGGCGATGTAGGCGTTTCCGTTGACGGACCCGCTTCAGGTGTAACCTTAGGAATGGGTTTGACTTCCACAATTGGCCTATGAGGAGGCTCCTCTGGCACTGTCTCAATCATATTATGCATATTCTGAGCTAGATAGTTAAGTTGTGCCATCAATGAGACCTCGGGTTTCTCTAGCGCTCGCTTGAGAAACCCGCGCTCAATACCCGTTGTAATGACTTCTGGGAAATTCCGATCAAAGACAATTTTGCAGGGCTCAAGCGGATAAAGCTCAGGTACTCTCAAATCAACGCTGTTAAGAAGAAGTAGCCCTGCCGGCAGCATAGCTTTCATTCGAGGCTCCAAAGGGACCTTGTATATCGTACCGATCGAGTTTTTCCAGAACACAGGTGACTGTCTTAATCTCGCTTCCAGCTGCCTTGTCTCCAACGCTCGTCTTGCCCTTGCAGCTTCCCTTTGAGCCTCGGTGTAGATCGGTTTTGGCAGTTCTGGTTTTGGGGGCGCTTGTGATACTTGAGACGCCGGCTCCGTTATTTGCAGCTGGTGATCATTGACGTCAAGCTTTGCGACTTCCTGGACAACGGCTCCTATATTCGGCACAATTTTGAAAGTCGCAGCCTTCTCGGATGACAGGAATTCTTCAAGTCGCTTATCGAGGTTATTGATCAAATCGAGCAACCTCGTCGTCTTCGATGCTGACCTAACCAAATTCGAAAAGCCTCGTTCGATATTGAACTGATGTCCTTTGGGCACATCCTCGTTCAGTACCTTGATCGAGGATCCTTCCGCATCTGCCTTAGGGTATTCTTGTGGGATAGATAGTTCGACCCTTAGAGCATCTAGATCATATGGGAAATCTTCTGACTGTTTCAACTCAAGTCGGTACACGCCATGTTCCTGATCGACTTCTTGGAACAGGTCCCCCCATCGACGCTTAAGCTGATTGATCTCGTTTTTTCTCCGCACTTCGGGATTACTTTCACCGGCTGGTGCAGGCCGGCGCACTACCTTAGAGGGATCAACGATTGGAAGATGACGGCGTGCCGGCAATGCATCGGCCCCAGGTGCACCGCGTGCTGTATGACGTACCCCGCCGGCATTTTGATGCTGTCGATCACCAGCAGGGTCCTTTCTCCCGGGCCCGGATGCCAGCGCAGGTGAGCGATCATCCCCAGTGCCGCTCTTTCGAAGCTCAGGGTCATGGGAAAACGGGCACGAATCTCCATTCTTGCACCCTGTAATAAGTATAGAATTTGATTATATAAGTGATCATTCAATACGAAAATTTGAAGATGGATTGCAAAAAACGAGATCCTAGGCTAATCTCGTAGGAATGCCAATCAATTATTCGCATAAATGAATGGCATATGACCCAGAGATTTGCATATTGCCGACAATAGGCCGCAGAGCTTACATGCTTCCCCGGATTTTGATCTCTCAAAAGTCCGGGGCAATGGAATCTCGTGCCATATTGCAACATTGGGTACGTAGCGCGTAGGATCGATATCCATATGCACCCAATAGCCAAAAGTTAACTTGAAACTAGGACAAGCATACTACATAAAAATTGGCAGTTTGGCAAATGAAACCGAGGAGAAATAACATCGGGGAAATCGGAAAGTGGGTTTTAACGTACCGGCTTTCGTCGTGTAGAACTTGCAAGGCCGAGGAGTCTTCGGCGCTCGTGCTTGTCCACGTGCCTGTGTTTGTGTTTGTGACGACGATGACGAAGTTGCCGCACTGGCATCCCCTGTAACAGTGGAAGCAGCCACCAAGGAGGATCCGGCAGGCTGCTGAAGAGGCACAGGGAAATCTTCGTCACCTGTTCTCAATGGATCCGCCATTTTGCTTCAGCCTGATGAAAAACGGATCAAAGGAGTTTTCTTGTAAGTGATTAAAACTCAAAGTTTACTAGTAAAAAAGGCCTCTGTCTGTGTCGAGAATTAGCTTTGGTTAGCGCTATGTCTCTCGTCGACCGTCCCACTTCCCCGCAAAAAGTTAAAGATCGTGTACAACGTGATCTAGCTGTTGTCCCAATGGAAAAGCCCCCTTCATCCAATTTGTTTGGACACATTTCCTGATACTTAGCTGCAGCTAGTGGTTTCCTTTTACCTAGGGGTCGATGCTCTAGGACAAGCGGCGAAACAGAGTGTATTGTGGAAATGACTGAAAGGGGGGCAAATGGAAGCCACAACCACTGTCAGGTGCCTCGCATTGACACTCCTGTCGAGCTTAATCTCGACAGAACGTCTAAGACTCGACCCCCAGCTTCGCAGTCGGGAGGGATGTCGGGTTTCGAAGCACTTAGCCGTATAAACGGCCGGCTGGAAGGAGCTGGAGACGATCTCACCTTCTTGCTTCTGTCAGAACAAGTACAAGGTCGTATTTGGAGTCAATTGACTGGTAGATATGAGTGTTTCGTAAGCTTGCAGCTGCTGGACCTTCAAGCGATTCGCTACCAGGTTTTGGGTCTACGTCCAGAGCTCGACAAAAAAAAAAAAGAGAGACCAACTGACTGCGTTTTTGTTAGAGTGATAATCAAGGCGGTTTCGATCTCGTGATTGGATAAGTCTATCGAAAAAATCATGTAATGGACTACGGCGCAAGAGCCTCGCGTAGAAGCTTTTATATCGAATGCTAATCGATACAGTGGCCAATGTCCATAGACTATGTCCAATCCTGCAATGTAAATGATTCATTTCTTGTCATGATTTCCCAACGCGAACAAACATCAAGCTCCCATGATTGCTGACTCCAAACTATGCATCGCGCTAACAATAACACTACAGCATTCCTAATATTAACCAACTTGCCTTAGGATCTATCTCCAATTCGGGTTTTGCGGGGAAGAGAGAAAAACCTAAACCTCTCTGGAGATCAATTCCTACATATCCAGTTGAAGCATCTAGATTGTGGACTACGAGTCTGCCTACTATAGCTACATGCTACATTCTACATGCATACCTCGCCAGTTGCAGCGCTAAACATAAGCATCGGTTTATCAGGGACATCGGGGATTGGATAGAGCAATGGGCTCAGAATAGCTTCCTTGATATAGCATGATCTTCGAAGTCACTTGACAGGCGACATATATCCGTGCTTTGCCACCAAGCAAGCCTCGCTCGCCCTGACCGAGCTGAGGAATGTACCCACGACGACGACGTCCAATGGGAACGCCGACCACGCTAGTTCCTAAGTACCTACCTGCTCAAGTACCTACTTACATAGCTCCCCGCCTGCTTTGTTTTGTTCTACTACATGTCCATTTGAGATACATGGATAAAGTTCTCAGATAAGCTACCGTGTATGTTCAAGCTTAAACACGTCTAGCTTGACTGGTGTCAGAAGCATGCATATCTCCGAATACCTCCTTGCCGTCAATTACCCGTATGAGGTAGTACAGATAACAAAATACCTACTTACTTAAGTAAGTAGTTATTCCAAGCTCTAGCAAAAACATGTCACTGTTTTTTTTGTTTGACAGCTCCCGGTACGTGTGCATCCTTCCATCGGGTCCTTCGACGGCATGGGTTCGCCCGAAAACGTGCAGCCCCGATAGTAAAAAACCGTTTGTTCTCGTGGATTAAAAAGTGCAAAGCCTAACGTGGGGTTTGCCCCCATGGAATGCCTAATCTGCAGATAGATTCAAACAGTTCAGGTTCAGATTCTATTATAGACGACAAAAAGCTTTGGCTAATCTGGCCTCGCACGACACGGGATATCGTTGGCTGATTAGACGTATCCGAGAAAATACCGGCTTGCATCGAATCGGAACTCGTAGCCCCTCATGCCGATATCATCCGTTTTCATTGGAATTCGCAAGGCCGTTGGAAAGCCTCGAAGGCAGACTTTCTGTTCCGCCAAACTTTGTACACCCACCCGCGGTACGTAAGTATGTGTGTAAGTACTTATGTATGTATGTACAGCGTTCCATAGCATGAAATGATATTACAGCATGATATTTTTTAAGAATTTCCCTATCCCGTAAACGCATTGCCAACGCTCCAAATCCGGACGATATTGAATTTCTTGAAAAGGTGGTGTGCTCGGGTTCAAGGGTCCCCGATGCTGTTCGATGCCCCATTGTGGAAATTCAATGGTCTATGATAGGTTCGTTCGCTGGATTTTGCGTATTTGCGTATGTAATGGTTCATGTACGTCCTTTGGAGGTGCAGAACTGCTCCACAACGTTTGCATATAATCTGCACACTACTGCAGAATTCCTGTAACCGATTAACCATTCAACTTCATTTCGTCTACCATCTAAGGTTAAGGTGGGCTGATGGTGCACATGAGCGATGAGTTGTCCATCCTCAATTAAACACCAACCTCTCGGGCATCCCCCCCATGGTCATGGTTCATGGTCATGGCCATAATCTATTCGGCCTTGATCGATAACTCATAATCAAAGGCTGTCGCGAAATCGCTGGATATGATGGATGCACAACATCACGCAAGCGAAAAAAAATCAGGTCCCTCAGAACCAGGCCGCCAAAAACTTGATTTCTTCCCGTCGATGTGTTCTCGGTATATGGTGTTTCATCATTGGTCACGACTCGACATAACCATCCAGTGGAGTTTCTTCCACTGGTGGTCACCAATATAAACATTTGTTTGATCCTTTCTTTCTCACTTCTTCCTTTCCTTCAGCCTTCCTAATTATGGTTCTCGTGCTCAGTTCGAGTTCAAGTGATTGATGACATGGCAATGATACAACCAGTCGTTTAAGCATCGCCCCGATATTCACAAGAAATGACATCGAACCTAGATATCACACCTTTATTCATATTTTTTATTAAGAAAATATCTCAAGTACATGCTCGCAAAAGTGATATGATGGCTAACTATCACAGTCACCAGCAAGGACAAAGAAAGAAAAGAAGAAAAAAAGACCATATCGAAACATGCAATGCATCGAAGGAAAAATTCCTGCATGCATCAGTCTTTTCCCTCTGAAGCTAGCTAAGCTTCCTCTATTCTCATCGCAGACATACCGACACCTATCATGTCTGCATGAATTATGCAATTCCCTTAAGGATCAAGGCAAGCCCGCAAGCCCGGCGAGGAGTTCTGGAGGGAGCTAAAGCGGCTCCATGTAAGGTAGCCAGGAGTTTGGTGAACTCACGCACACTCCCTTGTCTCGTGCAGCGTTCGTACATACATTGCTGTAACTTAGATTCGCTTGACTAAATCTCACCAAAAGCTGTACCATTGTATCCCGTCGATTCAGTGCATGCAGCATTTTGAAAGGGAGGTCCTTGAACGTTGCGCTCCGTGGCGATATTGGCCATGCACAGTCAAATTAATTAGCTGACTTGGCCTGCGGGGACGGAAAGTCTGTGGCCCCTACTGCAGAATACGCAACCGCATCGGCTCGCTGGTTGCATTCGCCTCGATTCTGGAGCATCAAGCAAGGTCGAATTGTTGAAGTGACCTTACTATTTTTTAAATTTTTTTTGTATATGCATATACTAACATATGTCCCGCGCGCCCATTACTGGCCTAGAACTTCGGGTAGTGGCAATTGCAACTCGAATTTATTCTCTATCAGTTGGGTCACGACATGATCTTATACTGATATGTACTCCCACCAATGCAATTTCCGCTAGCTGCACAACATCCGGCGAAGGCGTTGACCTCATGACTGTCGAGTGGCTTACAGCCCAGGTCGAGATGCTTCAAGCCACGATTGACTCAAATTATACCAGGCCGGCTGATTTAAATCGTATCGAACGGCTATATAATATAAAATAGTTTTCCGCCATCCTCAAAGCACGGGCCGACATTTCTTCCGTCAACCGGCCCTTATTACGAAAGTGAATTCGTGAAAGGAGAAGGAAAAAAAATTAACGGCTGGGACGGCAAGACGGGTTAACGGTTTCGAGAAATTATCTCGAAGTCACAATGTCATGGGCCGATTGCATAGCCTGAAGTCCAGAATCACCTCAAGAAAGTGTGGCCCCGAGGTACCAGGATAGGATCTCAAAGGGAGGAACCCCCGCCAAGAAGCCCAGATCATATAGATATCTGCAACAGCAAGTTGGCGAAATTTTCTTCTCTAATCCTTATGCATTGGCTTTACGTGGGAATAACTAGGATTATTAGGGGGTGGGTGGGTGCTCGATAACCCGAACGTTAAGCTTTTTCCGATTCAACCAGTATATGATCCTAAGCTACCTTGTCAAATCCATCGAGACACCATTGAGGTTAATTTTGGCTCTTTTGCTATCTCCAGACATCTGGCAAGCGAAACAAGCTGATAAACATACGGCCTTATCCCAGCCCTATACTTCCGGGGTTGGCAACCAATTGATCATATCACGATTAAGTACTGATATCAAAAAGACTCAGTCGGTGCACACAACCTATCACAGACCTCTTGAGCTCGAGCTCTCTCTTGCACTCACACAGACCCGGCTCACGCCAGATGTTCGAGCCGTTACCAGCCCAACCCTACGATATGACTAAAAACGATCGTTGGGAACTCCGATCCAACATTTTCCGGTGCAGGCAATAATAATAGAGGACGTAATTAATGAAACGCAAGTAGGCCAGCCGCCTTTGTCCGGCCGCTTGGCTGTTGGAATAAGGCTGGAGGCAGATTATCCTGTTGGCATGATCATCACCATCATCATTACCATTATATTCCTCATTATAGCTTGGGTGTGTTCGCGGCGGATGGAATTTCGAACATTCATCCACATGTGACTATGATGAAATTTCTAACAATTAAACTGACGACGGAGTTCCTGAAAAGGATAAATAACAAGGCACACACACATACATACAAGTGACAAAGGCCTAAGCGAGCTATCGGAGACGGGTGGAATAGGAAGGAATGGGAATGGGAACCAGAAAAAAAAAAAAAAAAAAAAAAAAAAAAGGAATCCTTTGCTTTTATTTTTATTTATATTTTTCCTTTCAAGGTTAACGGCTGCAGTTTTATATAAAGTGTAGACTATTCCCAACCGTATGACGTTAATGTTAACGCATGTTCCTCGTCTACGGCATCCCGCATCCAACAATTCCGAGCCACACTAACTATACGGCCATATGGCCGCTAGGGAACAATCTATTATCTCGTCGACAATAACAGGCAAAATCCTTGATATCTTAGGTTGATCTATCGGCTAGATCCAATTGGCACCATCACCGTCGTCAACTTAGACATTTCTTGCATACAATTTAATCCTTACTAATCACCAAATACTACAGCACCAAGACAGCACTAAAACCAGTAGCCACCGCGGGGAACAAGGGAAGTCTAAAATACTTTTTTTTTGCTAAAACTAGACAGAAATATATTTTAGTGTTTTAGCCCTTTGAAAAGAGAGAGCCATTCGAATAGATTCCGAAGTTTCGCGGCCGGAGCATTGCGGACTTTCGCTGCACCCAGTGGTCATCCCGAAAGCGAGACCGCTCATCAAAGTCCAAATTGGGAATTTCCTACCTTTAACGGAAAGAAAAAGAATTCCTCGTATTAATATATTACTTGTTAGTTTATAGCCTCGGTTTCGGGCTATTTTGCTTTCATACATAGTTAGATCGCGATCTTAGTCTTAATTTGGCACATTCCTCGTGATGGGTACCAAAAACCGGTGTTTGATATGCCAAACCCGTTACCAGGCGCTATACCCTACATGAAAGGGTATCAGGTCATCCTACAGTCGAACAACAGCCAAAGAACGCCACTTAAGGTGCCATGTGTGTAAGTCTGTCTGTATGTTTTCTGTTAGTTGCTAGTAGTCGCTAGTTTGCATCTATTTCGCAATTACAATATAAAATTGTAAACTATAACCGCCTTGCATTGCAACATTACAACAGGTAAAGTGGAGATATAAGTCTTATACGTAAGCTCTTTGAATGCCACAATCGATATGGTATTAATATTGTTGCAAAAATTTTAATTTTATGGCGTCTCCGAGATGTTCGTAACTGATCCAAAACATAATCAATTCCGGTATTGCCGTAGTTCGATAAAGAGGGAGATATACATACAATTGTTACTTTGTCACGATACCTTCTGTACGGTATAATCCGCGTCGAAATCCCCACAGTGGCACGGTGGCGACGGGTCTCTTCTGCCGTCCGTCCATCCATCCATTGTCAATGACTCCAGATACCAACATCGCGGCAAATATTTGAGAAGTCCGTGAGGAGGGATCCATTTTGTACATGTCTCAACTCTACCGTCTCCGCAAGTGCATTTCACAGCTGAAATGCAAGACAAAAGTAATATCTCAATCGAAGGATGATCCCTAACAAGTTCGAATCCACAATCCCCACACTTTTCTCCTAAGGCTTGATCACAAGCAGGCGCAGCCGCATGGTTCTTTTGAAGTCCAAAAGAAGCTAAACTCTTACATACATTTTGTTATCTTGTTGGTTTCAATGGGTCATACCATTTCTAACATTTCGAGGCCAAAGCTCTGGGCTTCTTTTGAAACGGAAAATTTTCCAATCCCTTGAAAATGGGGGAATACTCGATCGCCGTTTAAGTTAAAAACAATTGGCCTTCTTATCACCGTGAATATGTTTAGAATTCATTTTGAATTCCCATGACGATGTACTCGATCTCCATAATTGGGCAATGTCCAGTCCCATACCGGTGCTTTTAAGTTTTTTTGTGTCCATGGGAAACTCTATCAACCCCGATGAGAGACATCCGATAGAGTTCAAAGCACATGTTAACGATTGAAGCAATTAACAGGGCAAAACGAGTAAAATCGAGAAAGAAACAAAAAGCAGAAATGGAGAATCTCCGTCGGCTAACGTCTCTGCATTATTAGCGATTTCAAAACGGTTTGCACATGTGGGGATATGATTTTTTTCCTTTTCCTTTCACCGTTTTCTTTTCCCCCTTCTCTTTCCTTGTTTTTCCTTCTTTCTTTTGTATGTATGTAACGGGGTGCACGAGTTGTCTGTGAAAAGTGATTTGCCAATTCTGAATCACGATCCCGGTGCAAAACAGAGAGAAGGGAAGAAAATTTTCAACAGAACCCTGGCTTTTCGAATTTTCTTACGTTTTTCTTTTCTTCGTGCTTTAAACACCATATTCGGAGATGAAGTGAGGGGCCTTGTTTCTCTTATTTTGCTTACGAGTGGTTGGGCATTGTTGGAGACCGGATTTTTTCTCGCTGTGGTCTTCGTCCCGAGGTCAGGTTCAATGAGCAAGAAAGAAAGAAAAAAAAAAAAAAAAAAGCTAAGGGAACAGCCAGGGTCGAGGGCAAAAAAGTCACTCATATCACGAGGAGAGTGTGAATGGACCAAAGCTAGCTAACTAACGCCAGCACACTTTGGCACACTCAGACTAGCGCCGTATGTAAGAATCACGAAATGCCCTAGTCGATTGCGAGTGCGAAGAGCGAGGATGAATGGAACGGTGATGTTTTCGGAGTTTCGAAAAATTTTCATTCTCTTTTTGTTTAAATTTGTTTGTAACTAACTAAGTAATTTTGAGGCAGTAAAAAAAAGGGCTATAATTAAGTACACATGCTTTCTTTTGGTGACTTCTTTTGTGCTCTGTCTCTTTGGCTTTTTTTTTTTTTTGGTCGTAACATGTGACATATTGGAAGGAACTGTTATACAGATATAGTTGAAAAGAAAATGAGGAAGAGAAGGCAGAATATGATACAGTAGAAGAGAATAGTAGAGGTCGTAAGAACTAAGAATGACAGACCGTGAAAGCAATACCTTTTGAAATTTTAAGGTCGTGAAAAGTAGTAGCAGCGTAAGGAAATATACAACGCCATTTTTGATAGAAGAAAAAAGACAAACCCAGGTTCCGCCCAACGCCATATGCCCAAAGGTCAAGCACTGTTATTATCGCTAAAGCCTCGCAAAAACAAGAATCGAAGGGAAGGCATATTACGCCGTAGCCGAAATCCCCAAAGTAAAAAAAAAACAATCAAGTGCGAGAAGTGAAAAGAGAAAGACAAAATCAAGTCGGTGGATGACCCAATGCGCCGCGCCGCTCATACCGATGAGAACCGTTGTAAACGAGAAAATAAAGAACCGTCCCGGAACCCATGATATGAACAAAAAGCCAAGGAAAGGTATGAATTAAGCGAAGATGCAGCGATGGCTCCGACGGTCTGATCGACAGAGGTAGGGGTCGTTCGTATAAAACAAGAGGAGGGTATATTGTAGAAAAATTTTCCAATTTTATTTACCAGCCAGCGAGGTGGTATTCGTTGGGACCAGGACCATGTTCAAAGTGGTTGTTCCAAGATCCAGCACGGCCCTGCTGGGGGTACTCAGTCATATTCTGCATGTCGTAAGCGGTATGCCTGCGTCGAAGGACGGCATTGGCAACCTTGTTCTTTTGCTGCCTCTCCCAAAGGAGATGCTTTCGCAATGATTCGGTCAACTCGGTGGCAAGCATGTTGCGACGAGTGGTACGAGGTGACTGAGGGAACGCAGAAGCGGACTTAACCATGGGGATAGCCCGGGCGTTAACAATTTGTTGTTGGATAGGTGCCTCTCGAGTGGGAGAGAGAGGCATGGATGGACCATTGGGAGAGGATGTGCGAGACCTAACAACAGGTGCGGATCGAACACCAGCGGCACGAGCAAGGGCCTCTGCGCGGTCATTTTGGTGAAGAAGGGTAGAAAGGAGTGACCTCCTGGAAGTGAGTTGTGGTCGAGGTTCTTCGATACGAGAGAACATAGATGATTCCTCGCCGTCCTCAGAGCCATCCTCGCTAACAGAATCCCAGTCATCCTCATCGATGGCGCTATCATCTTCATCTTCAGTCATGAAGTCATCCTCTTCTTCTTCCTTGAAGGTTCGGGTCTGAACTTCATCAACGAAGGCGGCTCGCTTGCTGCCACCGCTGGCGACTCTGCGAAGGCTGTTGGAAAGTGCACTACCATACCTGGATCCATCGTAAGATCCAGAAGCATCAGATGGGCTAGAGCCAACGATGAACATACCACCCTTCTTTGGCTTGGTAGGTTCTGGTGTAAGCACAACTTCCTTTTCCTTGACAGTGACCTCCGCGGCAAGCTTGGTGGATGATCGGTATGAGTTGGAAACCAATCCTGGACCAAAGCCACGGACGACACTGTGAGAGCTCTTGATGCTGGAGTTGGATCCAGTGCTGTTGTCAGATGCTGTAGAATCGTTCGAAGACTTCTGAGTCTCGGTAGTGGTTGATGTGACAGGGGCAGCTGGGACAGCGATGGGCTTGGCTGGCTGCTTTGTTGGTGACTTGGAGTGTTCCTCGATGAGTTGTTCGACTTCATTGTTGTTGAGATTGCTCATCAACCTAGCCAAACCGACTGGGTTGATATGCCTTTCTCGACCAGAGCCCCGTCGGCTCATGGTGCTCTGGTTAGAATGGATGCTGGAGTGTGGGTATCTGTCATTGGATGAAGCAGATTCTACGCTGGAAGACAGAGCAGGTACATCCTCTGTGCTGGATGTGCTGCTCCTGGATCTTGTCGACGCAGATGACGATGTGGATTCCTCTGATTCTTGTAGAGAGGCTCTAAACTTGCTAACGGTACCAGTGTAGAAGGTTTCCTGGTTCCATAATCGCCAGCTTAGATTCTCTAATCGCCTACCGTTTTCTAGCGACTCGGCACAACGAGAAAATACTGATATCCATTAGATCCATGTTCCAGAGAAAGAGAGCAGAAAACTGCAGGGGAAAGAATTCACATACTGGTCCACATTCCAAAGAGGTTATCAACATTATGTGTGTCGATTTTGCTGATATTGTTAATGCTGAGAGACAGCACAGGGCTGTCTAATCTGGAAGGCATGGCTGATATGCTTTTTTAAAATTGTAATTGTAAAAATCCTTGGTCCCGAGGTGTGTAACTCTCAGTTGATAAGGAAGAGAGATGTCGGTATAACAGTGATGTTTCGAATGGGTAATGGATGATTGTCGGTTATCAAGAGTGGGAACGTCGTGCTTATATTCCAAACCCTTGTAGTCGGAGACAGGTATTCGGGACAATGCAAACGAAGATTGGAGGTCGGAAGAGATGACGATGGATGCAGGAAGGGATGCGAAGGGGATGATATATGTAGACCACTTGGTGAGGACCGTTACTATATGCAGGAGGAGAAGAAAGGCAGAGGATTGGGGAAGAGGAGGTTGAACGAGTGTTATATGTATGGATGATGCTATGTGGAAGTAACGAGAGTGTGGTGTGCAGAGGTGTGTGGGAAGGAAGGGGTTTGGTTATGTAGCGTAGCTACTGAGTCCTGAGTAAGTACTCTGTAGTCTGGAGCCCGGAGAAAAAGAAGCAATTACCGAATTTGGGGGACAACAACCACCACTCCAACATGGACAACACCCGAGGATTCTTTCTCTTGTCCACCACTCTCACAAGAAGAAGAAGCATCAATTCGCCGGCTCGATTGGAAAAGGGAACGAACTGGACACTGAAAGAATGGCCATGGGCGTCACAGTTACTAGTCTAGTGGGCAGCTAACCAAACTTCTGAACTTCCCCGGGCAAGTGTGTGTGGAGACCATCTTTTTATCTTTTCTTTTTCGGTGACCTTTTGTTTTTCGCACCGGAAAAAGAAATTCACAAACTGTCTTCCACCTGACCGTCTCACAGAAATAAGAAAAGAAAGAAAAAGGAAGAAAAGAAAAGAACCCCATCCGCTGAATCAAGATTTTCCCAGGGGACTTCAAGGGAAGGGGGTCTTCCTGTTTTTTGAGCATGGGGTCACCACATCGGTGCACCACACACACTTTTGCACCCATACATTACATACAAGTAAAAAAATCCTGCCTGGCCTGGGGGTAGTTCATACCTTCGAGAACGTCGCCTAATCGTTCGCAGAGAACCGGCAGAGAGAGGATGTGGTAGAGAGGAATGGACGAAAATATGATACCTAACTCCTACTCAGACAGAATTGGTTCTGAGACGACGGAATAATTCGGTCCAAGTTCCAAATCGTCAATACTTCCAACTCTTCTATCTTTGTCCCATACCATATCCGATCGATTCCAACGTTGTCTGTCTTTCCAACACGGCTTCTTTGGGACCTTTGTCATATGGCCTTCAACCAAACAGAGCTTCGTTACTTACATACCATGGTCACTGACACTGACAATTAATTCTATGGCGGAGCCGTAAGTATGCGCCGTGTATATCCCCTTAAGGGTTACTCGATCCGCTCCGTGAACAACATGGCCGGTGGCATCACGACGCGCATAAAAACCCCATACGAATGACCTCGGACGAACAGAGAAGCTGTTCGATATATGGAACCCTCCATTGTTCCCCCACACGCCCTGTTTCTGCTTTTCTGGCGATTCGTAATCTGGAAATTTCCAGGTTAACTTCCACAAAAGAATACACCCTCACTACAACATTTTGCGAAAGAACGCACGTCCGTTGGTAACAAATACGAAGGCGGACGGAAACAATACTTCCATCCCGTAATGTCGATGTAATTGAAAATGCGGGTGAAATGTCTCTTCCACCGAAGCCGCCCCAGTGTTCGCTGTGAACAGCATATAAAAGTATGCGGATTTGAATTATTCCCTAATCTTTCCATTCCTTCCCTGTTCCCGTCACCGAAACTACCATTCAGAGAAACTCAATTTCCAATTGTTGGAACCTTTCCAATTTAGGAATTTTTATTTCTTTCTGGGGGTCCTCCAGTCTCGGGGCACAGGGAGTCGTTCCCCCTGTGCCCTCTCCGAAGCTCATGTTTTTCTTATTTTTAGCCGCTCCACTCTTCCTAAACGCACAGTGTCTCCCCCAATTAGAAGACATTACACCATGAGGCAGCCGTTCACGAGACAATAAAATCCACCACAGTGGAGGGATCCCGAAACCCGACGGTAGGGGGTGTTATTCTTGTTTGCAATCAACGAAAGGGCGGCTGCGGCTTCTCCTATCGGGGCCCTCACCGGCTACTGCTCTAAAAAGGAAATTTCCAATAGACGCTTTTCCTTGACACTCCAGTGTTTGTGTGGGGAAGAAAGTCACGGGAAGGGTCCAGGAAAAAGGGTCCAGGCAGCACAGTACAAAGAACAATAATATTGATTGACGGACGACGATGAGACTAATTAAAACATCTAACGGCTCTCCACGTTCAAAACCGCCCGGCCGCCCGTTCTTTTGTTTGCCCAAAGATGGTTTTCATGTGAATGACTACAGCTTTGACCTTTCAAGTCATCAAATTACAAACTATTGGAGGACGATGTTGTTCCTGGTGTTAGCATGTTGTAAGTCTGGGGAAACTAATTCTCAGGTCAGGCTTTCTTGCCAACCCGCACAGCCTTGCTTGCTTGCTTGTGAAGACTCGAGCGAATTCAGAGTAATTCGTATGTTCAGCCCACGAGCTCGAAGCTTTCCCTTACTCGATTAGATTTGCATGATTTGAGAATCATCCCAGATCGGAATCCGCCTGTCTCGACATCAAAAAGTTACGCCGACCCAAAATAGAAGCATCTGCTGGAAAAGCTTCATGTACACGGATTCGTGACTCCTACCAGGTGTCTGGCGTATTAGACCCTGATAAAATTATAAAACGCGTCCTTCTATTAGAGTTACAGGTCATCTTGTCAAATAAAGCTCTTTTGTGGGGGAAAGATACTCAGGGACCAAATGCAAGAAAACAGCTGGTCGGTTTTCGTGAGCATATTTTGCATTGACAACTCATCGTTTGGGTGCTCAAATCACTTGATTGTCGCTGAACAGCTGACCTGATGTGAACTGCTTTACCCTGCGCCTCAAGAACAAACACACAAAAAAGGACCCCCATAGATATTTCGCCTTCGAACAGGCGAGCGCGGTATAGTTTTATGAATTCAGAAGCTTAAAATCATTTGAATATATGGGGTAATATTGTCTCACCTTGTTTGAATCCGCAGTCACCTGTCAGGACATTTCATCGAATAGGACCGCCTGCCAAAATTACCATATGCGCCTGCGTATGCAGAACATCATGAACCAACGGTGAATTGCCGCCTCATACTCACGCCACGTTGCGTAGATTTATCCAGAGATAAATATCGATCAAACTGGTGATCTGGTAAATACGGTGCTAGTGGAATGCAAGATCAAAAATGAGATCCGTGGCAGATGAGTTTCTGACACCTCGAGTATCGTATCATATGGTAGTGCAACAAGACATTCTTTCTTCATATGAATCCATATGTATAATTGGACACTCGAATTCAGAATAACAAATAGTTTCTACAATTATAATTGTGTACCCCCACGTTCTTGCAACTCATCTTCAGCTCGATTTGGTCTTCCTCCGCTTCATACTCACCATTTGTGTAAAGCTGGTATCCGTCTCAACCCGCTTCACATATCCCGAGATATATCATTCACGGTAATGCAATGCTTCCCGCCGAGTCACGGCGGGACATTGTTGAACTCATCGATTCCGAATCCCGTTTCGACGTGTAACAAGCGGGGATGAGGGGTAACAATGGACCCTAGATGGCAAGAGAAAAGGGAGGGGCAGTACGCTGTTGAAGCCTTTGGACCCCCTCGTGTATGGACGCAAATCTTGATTGGACACCAAATTGCAACATCGCGGCCCCTTCCCGCAATTCTTTAGCCATACTCCTATTAAGCACAGCTGTTAACCGACCCTTTAGGAGGTTTGAAACAGCTGTAGTAATTTTGCAAGTGTAACCTCAATCGAAGACCGATCTTGAAGCAACAGTGCCACGAAGAAAAAAGTGATGGTCGCTCGAGCATCGGGATCTGGTATCTGTTGAGCAAGATCCAACTTTTCTGTGCCTGTGAAACCAGATCGCAAATCTTCCAGAAACACTGAATAAGTTGCCCATACACATGACCAAGAATATCCAATTGGGTGAGCTCAAAACAATTCCCCCGCAGTTTCAGAAGCTTCCCAATGACTCGATTGAATCGTCCAATTACGGACCTCGTGGGGCTTCGGCTTTCTTCCATAACGTGTGCACGCGTGCACATAAAAATTTTCGTTCCCCACGGCTCCTTTTATCCAGCTCCGGTTACAACAGTTCCGCATCGGCTGTGCTCTCATGCAATTTGCTAATAGAGATTTCGGAAACTCTCCATTATTCGACCTTCCAAAGACCATTTTTTTGCTTGTCGCAACACGCGGTAGTAAGCCCAGGTTTTGGGGATTGAAAATTTTTTTCGTTACCAGGTGACTCGTCGAAATTTGAGGAAGGAGTGGAAAAACGTGACGGCTATAGGGCTTTAAGCATCGAGCTCACCCAGTCCTGTGGGTTCAGAAGGAGTTCGTCTTTCCTAATTCTCTCCTGCTCCTTTATGGAAGAAGTCACGATGCTGGCCTTCCTAGACCTTTAGTTCGAGTAGGTCGTTGTTGATTCGCTTTTCATCAGTTTGTCAAGCATTTAGACAAGCTTGCGTTGAGGCGGGGCCAGAGAGTGGGGGCGAATCCGGGCCAATCCCAGAACGTTAACCACAGGTCTCGATCTGGAAACTGGTCGAGAACCGTCCTTTTGCCTCCAAATTGTATTAATGCCCTGAGGATACCACGAGGTAAACTGGGAATATCTTTACTATCGATGCGCCAGTACTGGTAACCGGGCACGCTGATCGATTGAATGAATGAATGCTATTAAGCTCTTGGAACACAGAGCCCTTTCGTCCGGCCATAAGTACCTTCTAACTTACATATGTACTTGTAATGTAAGTACTATGTAATGTAAGTAGGTACATAAGTCCGTAAGAAGGGACGATTGATTTTTTTCCATTTTTTTTTTTTTTTCATTTCTGAATGACCAGCTTTTCGGCCAGCTAGCATTCAGGTGACCCTATTCT